TTGTTCTTAGATTAGTATTGGAGGTATGCCATAAAGTTGTGTCAAACTTATTGCTCCCAATGCCGTTTGCATTGATTCTAGGGACAACAGTCTGGACTAGAGCCAACTAGAAGTGCTCTGAGATCTTCAGATTTTAACCTGGTGCCCTAAAAGTTTTGTAACTATGAAAAGCTTCTGTGTAATTGTTAAAGAGCACTTTCATTTTTTTTTTCCAAGGGTAGATTTCATGTAAACTTAATCCCTTTAAACATTTAAAGGAAAACAGGTATACTGAAGGATAGACTGTGATATTGGCATGTGTCTGTGACCGTAAACAAAGCTAACTATAAAGCTGAGCTTTCTGATACAAATAGCTTCTCTTTGAAAATGGGAAAATTGTCACATCATTGAAACGAGTGACTTATCTGTAAGACTTTGTAATTGTGGTTTATGGCTTGATTAATGAGGTGAAGAATACAGTCTAGATCTAAAATTTCAGTGTCTCTATTTCAGTCTGAATAGGCAATCTGTGCTTTTCAAACAGATGGCTTTTATTGCAGTAATTAAGTGTGATGGAAAGGAATGGAATTTGAAAAGTGATGATTATTCTGAAACAGCAAGCAGGAGGCAAATATGACTGTCACATAACCTGACCTTCGTGCTTACCTATCAAAAGGTATAGTCCAGTGTTATTGCAAAGGGTGCATATCTTTGCAGCATGATGCTGAAAACATGGGGCTTAGTTTTTAAAGCTTGGCTGAATTCTGAATCAAAAGCATGCTGTGGGTCCATTTGCTCTGAACAATAAATGAATGGAGTTGGAAGTTGTGTCACTTGTCAAATATACTTGAAACAGTTACAAGTGTGTTCTGAAGAGAAAAGTTAGACCTTTATTTTAGTATGGAATTTTATATATAAATATGAATTTTATTAAAATAAGAATTAGACCTTTTATTTTAATATGAAAAGCTAGATAGCTGAGGAAGCTTAAAGCGGGAAGTGATGGGACCATTGAATTCTCATCATGCCCATGAGAAAATGGTTTTAAGCACTCTCTGAAAGGTAAAACTGTGTTTTTGAAGTGCAGTCAACAGTCTTTGAACCTGAAGGATGCTTTCAGTGGACTTGGTTAAATACAGGCCCAGAATCCCACTGAATATATGTATTTATTTGTAGACACTTAACTATTGGCATAGAAGCAGACAGTGGGAAGGAGACATTAGTGTGTGTGTGAGACAACTATTATTGAATGGCCAATTTGGACAACCTGATGGAGTGAATGGTTGCTGGAAAAGGTCTTTTAAGTTTAAATCTCTGGAAGGCGGTCAAGCCATGGAGGCAGGGAGTTGGAATGTTTTATTGTTTTTGATATTATTATTATTTATTATTATTTTGAAGTAGTTAGATTAGCAGCTTTCATATTTCATTAAAACATAATCTGACATCAATTATATACAAGGAACAACATGCCTTAAACTTTAAAGAAAGGACACGTCAAAAGGAATAAGTAAAAACAGTGAAACCAGTTCTTGTATTATTTATGAGCTAAAATGTAACAGAGCACCAGGTTCAAAGATGAAGAATCATGTATTCCGTACTTTCTCAGGTATAAAAAGGGTTGGGTTTAGGAGCATTTCTAAGACAAATGTGTCACTGAATAAAATCTTTCAGTGCTGAATTGGTAAAGCACAGCTCTGAAGAATCTAGTCTTAAAGTTCTCGGGTTTTTTCACCTGTTTTTCTTTCTTCCTTCTCCCTAACTTATCAAAGTTGAAACACATATCCAAAGCAAATGCAGAACAAGCTCCAAACCATTAAAATTTTAGGCTAACATCCAGTTCCTGTGAAAAATGTTGAGGGACAAATCTAGATTTTACTCTATGTCATATTATCAAGATACAACCAACGGTTGGTCTGTAGTCCATTGCTTCAAATTTCGTTCAAATGAGTCAGTGTGTTTTTTCACTGCTGCAAAGCTAAACGACTGGCTGTTAGTCGTACAGTAGATCATTGAATCTCAATTATTAAACTAGAAAGATTTTTGGTGTAAATAATGTTGCCTTTGGTGGAACACAAAACGAGCAACTCTAAATGACTGAAGGATTGTGCCCTAAAAAGACCCATCACAAAACCCAGAAACCTTGCTACACTACCGTAAGCTTCAAGGGAAGCAGAAATTCACAGGAAACCTTAAAATAATCAGTGTTGACATGAATGCAGTGCGGTCAGTGAAGGATAAGTGATAGTGTGGTAATAGCTGCAAAGTATCGATGCAGAGAGGATGGCTTCCTATTTACTGCAGTTGTTACCAAACAGCTGAATGCTTTTTTGGGAATCTTACCACATTCCTGGGTTCAATAATATTTCTTGCAGTTTTCTATCTGTTAATTTTGTGTTTGTGAAGAACAAAATCTATTACAAATCAATTAGAGTTAAGCAATCCAAACCCTTCAGCCAGGATAGTGACTTGTTTCAGGTTCTTTAATTTAAATTTGTGGCTTTAGGTAAATAATTTTTATTTAAAAAACATCTATGTGAAAGTATTAAGCACTGGTTTACTTCAAAGTTGAGGTTTTTTTGATTTAGCAGCCTTTTTCTCCCCTTTCTCGTATAGAGCTACATTTTAGTTGCCTACCCAGACAAAGCTATTCTGTCTTACTAGATGAGTGAATAATGTGCTGGAAGGACATTTGATTTCTACAACAGCACAATCCACATCTGTTGGTCTTATTGTTATGGTGTCGTGCTGTTCCTGATGATTCATGGCAAAAGGCTTTTTGTTTTGATTCTTAATCAATGGCAAATGCTAACTGCAGAGATGTTCAGGTTATGTTATCAGCTGCTTCTATCTGTGTAACAGCTGAAGAATAAGGAAGTTTCTGAATCCGTCTCTTCAAAAATCTTTTGAGAAACCCATCAGATGCTTTCATAAACAGCAGCTGGTAATAGTATATTTTTCAGACTTGTCTTGTACATAACATATTAAAAAAATGTAATATTTTCTATTGTGTGTGTGGCAAAACATGAGCGACTTGCAGTAGTTTATGGTCTGTGGTGCAAAGCACAGTGCTAGGTTTATTCAGCTGTGTATCCTCTAGCTATGCAATACTAATTTTCTATGCTTGGTATGTCTTTTAACAGAATGATGGATGTGCGTTCACTGTGTGGGATGTGTCAGTGTTTGCTAAACATGGTCTGTGCCTCTTCGTTAACTTTAGATAAACTAGTGGAGGTATTTCACCCTGCGGGAAATAGCAGCGGTAGCACAGAATGCTGGAATGAGTTATATATTGTTATGCAGGGTTTGTTCTGTGTGTTGTTTTATGTTTTCAAGAATTTCTGAAATGATGAAACTTGTTCTTTCAGTGCACAAACAGTTTGAATGTCCTAGTCTGTTCAGTGTCCCTGACTCTGTCTCTATAGGTTTGGATTTTTTTGAAGTTTTTTTTTATTTTAACTTGTGGTTTGTAGATTTGACTATTTCCTAATACTTCTGGAGAACTGCAACACTTTGGCTGATAAATGAAAATGTCTCCCAGAACTGCTGGCAATACATTGGGGTTTTTTTGTGGGTGTGTCTTTCCAAATAGAAGAGGGAAGAGCCTGCATTAAAGGCAGAAGATGTTTCAATTCACCCTTCTGCAGTGAGCTAAAAGCTTGAAAAGCCTATTATTGCTGTCCCTGACCTTTCAGCTTGGTGCTTATCTGGGAGCTGTGAAGTTGGCATGGCACTGAACCAGTCTCTGATTTGAGATGGTACGATCAGAAGAATTTAGCTCCTTCTCTTTGCTGCCAGGCTAGAAGGAGCTGTGTCAAGCGATTTCCACGCCGCCACCACCACCCCCCCCCAATATACTCCTACTTGACAGTAGGATGTGTATTGATCAGTTTGTAAAAGTGGGAGCCGCGAACCTGTGTGTTGATGTGACTCAAGTGAACTATCCTGCAGGCAATAGAAATTAAGTGGCATCTTTGAAATATGTTTCCTAATAACGTGTGACTTACCATCACACTGCCTCTACCTTCCCGATCGTCTTACTCACCTGGTCTTCATATCGCAGCGAGACTGCTTCTTAAGCTTGCTTCCTATCATCTCTCTGGTCATTGCTAGCTTCTTCCTTACCAGGATCTCGGTAACAGGCAATTCCTCTCTGCTTCTCATTCCTAAGAAATGCCCTCACTCTTGGAACTGCAAATACTCATTTCTGTAGGGCTATGGCAAGGTGACTTACCACTCTGTTGTTCTTGGCTTTCAAATTGGGAAGATGCTTAGCAGTTGCTACTGCTGCTAGAAACTACATAAACCATGTAACAAGTCAAATCAATTCATAGATAAAAAAAAATTTAATTAATAGTACTGTAGTGCAATTATCCTTCAAAATTTGTTGGTTTTAAATCTCTTTAGCTTATAAAGTTTAAAGCTGGTTTAACTCTGCTAATATCAGCAAATACAATACAGAAGTAAAAACCATTTGCTAATATTGCTGTGAAAATTTTTGACTGCTAGCTATTTAAATTTTGGCATGCAAGAAGCCAGGAAATTAGAGAAGTGAAGTTATTTGTAGGAATGTGTATAAGGAACTTATTTCACTGTATGCTTTGGTATCTATGTTACAATAGGTATCCTACAAAAAGGAATTGATGCTATTGTGTTGTGTAAAAAAAGCACTCAGAGTCCCCTGGTGTCTTTGGTGTTAGTTGTGTACAAATGAGTTGTTTTGACACTAAAACCTGGAGATAGCAGCATTGGGTAATGGTGCACTGATCTCTGGGCAAGAAATGATCCTGATTTATAACTAGGAGAACATTTCCTGGGGTAGTGCATCCATACCTCATTTCAAAGAGTAGTGTCTTGTGATTAGAACTTAGTGAATTCAAGTTTCTGGTTGTTTTCATAAAATGGGCTTAAATTTTGTTTGCACCAGCATCTTAAACATGACAAATGCCATTTGAGTGGTTTAGTGCGGTGCAAATTTTAGAAGAAGCACAAATGCAGCATCTCTCTTCTTTGCCCATGGCTACATGGCGGGGCTGACTCAGCTGGCGGCTCTTACGGTACCAAATGCAAGTTACTGCAAGGTAACATCTGTTCTGTATTCCGGACCTAGTCTTACACACTCCTTTCCTTCTGGAAAAGGAGATGGGCAAGGCTTCCTTTTCTGTGTCTGCTTATTTATGCCAGAGGGTTTTAAAACTATTTTTTGTTTACAAAAATGGAGGTAACTGACCATCAGTGACTGCTTTAAGGACCTCTTCATGACAACTTACCAATACTCTACTGGGGGAGCAAGAGGCAGTCCATTTTGTTGACTTGGTGACAAAACATGTTTTCAGGCAAAGAGAGCAACTCTCCTGCATGGTAGGTGTCTCCCCAGAGTTGTGCTTGCAGCCGAGACAGATTTTTGTTTGTGGTTTATGTGCTGTGCTATGCTGTACTTTTTATCTTTAAGAGCGCGATATAAGTTATTGATACATTCTCTTATTAAACATTCAAACTTCTCTTTCCCCCTTAAATACAAAAAGAAAATATGTTATTGGTAAGCATTTGTTATGTTTACCAATACAAACATTGATATATAGATTAACTTTTTTGTTCTGGATGTTGATGCCACCCATAATAATGAATTTTACACTTAAAGAATCATCTTCAGCACTGTCATCCCTGTTCCTCTGATAAAGTGGTGCTGAAATCTTTAGTAGTAATTCCGGCAGTCTTCTGCATGTGTTTGTTTTTCCATGTCAATGTGTTTTTCTCACCCCCTTGTTTTGCTTATGCTCTGAGAATAAAGCACGTCTCTCTTTCAAGGTACAAGCCATTACATTTCGGTGCGCTTTTCAGGGCTTTCTAAGCTCCGTTTGGAGGACTTGATGAACAAATGTTCAATTCAAGAAGTTAACTATGACACAGCGAAGAAAACATGAGAAAAACACATTTAGCAGTGAAACTGTTGCTTGGTTGCACAATGTGAATACTTAATGCACACTTTTAAAATAACAGTTAATAAAATAAAAGCCTTCTCTTGTAATGTTTATAATGATGCAATTTGTGGATGCAGTACTGAAGCACAGTGTTCAAAGCCATTGACCCTAGCATTGCTCAAGAAAACAGTAATGCTAGATTTGAGCTTATTTATACACAGTTTAATTGCTTCTTCTGGCATGTCAGGTTACCAGTAGAAAGGTAATATTATATAGCACTGAAGGTCGTTTGCAAAGACTACAATGTACAATAAAGGTGTGAGCCGAGTTACGTGTGTGTGTGTACATGTATAAGTATGTATACAAACTTACAATAAATACTTCCCTTAAACACTGCAGTGCTTCTTCAGCTCATCTAAAAGAGATGTTCTAGCTCAACCACAAGGCCTGGGCATGTTATGGGAAGGAATAAATGGAACCTGCTTGTGTTCTGCTGGACACTAACTGCGTAGGTCTTGTGGGCAGAGAAGGCTGTTATTGATGGGAATGGGAAAGGCTGGAAGACAAAAGGCAAGCCAATTCTTGCTTCACCATCTGCTGCTTTTATATATGAGGGGGACACGTGTATCTAAGAGCTTTTTATAAGGAAGGAAGAAATAAGAGAGGCAGTAAAGCTAGGGAATAGAGGAAGAGAACAGCATTTAGTCTGCAACATACGTATGAGAGAAAAGGCAAAACACTAATTCTACCTTCTTTTGTTGAAAAGAGATAAAACTCTTTAAGCATATATATTGTCATGATAATGAATAAAACAGATCATTTATCAATCTGAAGGGAGCCTGAGACATCTGCTCTGAATGGACCAAGCTTAAGTAATATGAAGGGTCTTTATATGAACAAGTTGTTGTTATCTGTATGCACTTCATAAAGTACTAATGACAATACCTTCTTTTTTTTTTTAAGGTCAGCTTCTTTAAAATCTATAACTGTCTGCATGTACATTGTACACCTGCAAGCTGCTCTAAGATTTGCATTACCGTCTTCCCCACAGGTATTGATTATAAGACTACAACGATTCTTCTGGATGGCCGACGAATCAAGCTACAGCTCTGGTAAGTGTGTGCTTCACCTGTCCTCGTAATTTATATTTCAAAGACACAGAAATGCAACTCTTCGGGGCACAAGTTCTGCCTTACGCTTCAGAAATATTTAGTCAACTGAGGAAGAGTAAGCCAGGAAGCTAGCCCTTTGAGTAAGTCATGCTTTCTCTTTACCTCCATTTTGCATCTATTTCATGTAAAATGGGGGACCCTACAGTTTCTCTACGTGCGAGATGCATAATAAATGCAGAAGAAAGGCACAAAAGATTTACAAGTACCTTCAGGATAGATTCAAGTGCCTCAAAGATTATAAAATATACTGGTAATGAGAACCATGAAAGTACTTTAGAAAGCATACAGTGATTGTATAGCAAAATCCCTTTGCTCAGTTTATTAGTAGTAATGGTCAACTAAATAACCACAGTATTTAAAAAAAAAAGAAAGTGTTATTGCTCATATAATTTAATCGATATGCATTCTCATGTGATTTGATCTTTATAAAAACATTTTGAGAAGAAATAAAATTTTTTTACCACAAATGTTTTCCCCGTAGGGTCAAGTATTTGGTCTGTCAGGGTGCTTTTTTGTTAAGGTTGTTTGAAGATGGCCATCTTCTGGTTCATCTAGAAATACTCAGCAAGCGATACAACTTGAAAAATGCAGGAACATTACTGCCTCTTAAATACATTGTTTTCCTCTTCCCTTCAACTCATGGCATAAAAGAGAGAGAAGTAAGGTCAGTGCAGGACAGGAAGGAGATGGACTGTGATTTTTTTTAGGAACCATAATCTAGATAAATCAGAGACAGGTTCTAGGAACAGGCAGTGTTCAGACAGAGTAGAGAATTGGAGGTGAAAATGATTTGTTGTTATGATTATATCCTTTTACTCCTAGAAAGAGACAATCCTGAGCCATTTCCATCTTTAAAATTTTGGTTGGGGTTTTGGGGTTTTTTTTGAAACTTTTTTAATTACTGGAGTTAGATGCCTTTGTGTCAAGGCTAAGTTATTTTTGGTTTATTCTTCATTGGTTGTTTTTGCCTTTATGATTTTCAAAATAATGCTTCAAATGTTAAATGCAATGATGGGTAATGGTACTCTGTCATATGCTATCTTGATTACTTGATATTTTGTTTTTCTTTTTCTGCTTTCTTTTTCTTCTTCTGTCTTCCACTTTATATAGCTTAGCAAAAATACCATGTAAAGCTTATTTGAGAAGCAGCCAGGAAGGAGATGTTTTAATTCTTTTTGTGAAGGACAAGGATGTTCTTTGGACTCCTTACAATAACAGATTGGAAATGTTTCTACAGTTGACCATATATGGAAAAACATGCCTTGCATTTGAAGATCTGTAATCTACCTCAAAAAGTCTTTATGGAATTTTGCTTCTTTTATAGTTCCTCACTATAAATTTGATTCTGCTTCCAAACACTTAATACAGTGATTTTTTGTTTTTTTTTTTGTGTGTGTGTGTGTGCATGCTTTTCTAAAACTCTGTGCTGTCTATGACTCTGTAGGGATGCCTTCATCATACTAGACTCATGATGAACTATTGCTGCTGTAATCAAGAATTTACTGTTTTTCCATTTGTTTCCTTGGTGATAGCTATTGTTTCCTCCCACTTTTGCTGTGAAAACAGAATCTTTCTTCAAGCTGAACTAAATGCAAAGTCTAGCAGCATACGTACACTTGAGTAATAGCCTTTGTTTTCCAAGGGCAATCACAAGAGTAAAGTTTGAAGTTCTTGTCCTCTTATCCTGAGAAATGTAGAGGAAAAGGGCAGAATGCCAGCGGGGAAAAACCGCTGAGAGCGAGAAGAGCTCTTATGCCTTAGTGACTGCTACTGCATGACTAATGGAAGAAGAGCTGATACTGATCAGTACAGATGAGTTAATCTAGCTGAGCTCTTAACATAGGAGGCCACCTACTTCTTTTAAAAAAAATATATAATTTATTTCATTTAGGGATACATCGGGGCAAGGGAGATTCTGCACCATATTTCGGTCTTACTCAAGAGGTGCTCAGGTAAGCCAAGTACAGCTTTCTCAGTGATGAGTAATGGTTGTTGGATGAATGAAAGCAGAGTTAGTAAACCATCATGATGGCTTCTATAGCTCACCTGTACATTGCATGCAGATTCAGTAATGGTCTGAAGATAACATGAAACATGGGAAATCGCAAGGGGCAGGATTTTCTTTTGGGAAGGGGAACAGGAGATTGAAATTGAATCAGGATAAAATACAGTGAAATATATTCTTATGCCTTCTTATCTTACTTTGATCTTGTGAAAGCTATGCTAATATTGCTTTTTAACAGTGTGTGCCCAGTAGGAGAAATTGATAACATAAAACTGTCAAGAGTAATGTGAAAAATACAAACATGTCTAAAATGTGATTAAATGTAATGACTTGTAAGGAAATTACTTTAAAAAAAGAAGAAGAAATACACACTAAAAGTCTCTATAGCTTCAGACTTTGAAGTATTGCTATAATTCATGACATGTATTGATTCTGATGAGTTGCATCTGTTATGTTCCAGGATTGCACAGAGTAGTGAATCTTTAAGCTACTGAATGTGACCAAAAATACTTATTTGCTATGACTTGTGATGTATGTATGATCAACCAAACCTGTCTACTGTAAAAAGAAATATTTACCAATACATTAGACCCTAAAACTAAGTCAGGGTTTCTGCCCCTTAGCTGATGTGTAGTCTACACAGAGAGGTGGGGCTTGGTTTCACAGGATGATGAGGTTCTGCTCCATTGAGAATTTGCTCAGCATCTTACAAGATTATTTCAGAATTGGAGAATTTACAGATAGTATTATCTGTGTTATGCCTCTGTTAAACTTAGAATTTTAATTTTTTTTTAATACAGGGAGTAATACTAGTGTATGATATTACAAATCGTTGGTCATTTGATGGAATTGATCGATGGATAAAAGAAATAGATGAGGTAAGGATACTGCTGTGATTCAGTTTGTTGGCAACCAAGCACCACACAGCCACTCACTCACCCTCCCCCCACCCCCGCCCCCGCTGGGATCGGGGAGAGAATTGGAAGGCCAAAAGTAAGAAAACTTGTGGGTTAAGATAAGAACAGTTTAATAATTGAAATAAAATTATAACAGTAATAAAAATTCTAATGAAAAGGAGAACAACAAGAGAGGGAGAAACAAAACCCAGGGAAAAAAACAAGTGATGCAAACTGCTCACCACCCACTGACCAATGCCCAGCCTGTCCCCAAGCAGCGATCACTGCTCCCCGGCCAACCCCCCCCCAGCTTATATACTGAGCATGATGCCATATGGTATGGAATAGCCCTTTGGGCAGTTTGGATCAACTATCCTGGCTGTGCCCCCTCCCAGTTTCTTGTGCACCTGGCAGAGCATGGGAAGCTGCAAAGTCCTTGACTAGCATGAGCAGTACTCAGCAACAACTAAAACATCAGTGTGTTATCGACGTTCTTCTCCTACTAAATCCAAAACACAGCACTATGCCAGCTACTCTGAAGAAAACTCACTCTATCCCAGCTGAAACCAGGACAGGTACAATCCCAGAGTGTCACTAGTCTGTAACAGATGACTAAGACCAACTGCTTATGATATTTTTTACTGTTTTTACTGGCATTTGCAGACAGTTATCCAAGATGCTAAGCTTAAAATTTTCTTTCTATGTTTATAATTCTAGAAAGCTGGAAACGTATCAGCTGAAGTGTCTGATTTCTTTAAAGGTGTTGATGGAAAGCATATGGAGGGCAAAGATTTCATATTGTAGTCCCACTCTTGCTATAGATTTGCCACATCCTCTATGCAAGCCTGTCTTCTCTGAGGAAGGGATGTTTTTAGATCAGAGAATCACAGCATAATTTAAGCCGGAAGGGACCTCTAGAGATCATCTGGTCCAACCTGCCACTTAGTCTTCAAATCTTGAAAAAGCTTTTGTTTGTTGTAATTGAGGGAAGGGGGAAATGGAAGCCAAACTATTAATTTTGTATTGCTTCTCTTTGCTCAGCATGCTCCTGGTGTACCAAAAATCCTAGTTGGAAATCGCCTTCACTTAGCCTTCAAGCGCCAAGTGTCTACTGAACAAGCACAAGCCTATGCTGAAAGGCTGGGCATGACTTTTTTTGAAGTCAGTCCACTTTGTAATTTTAATATTACAGAGTCCTTTACTGAGCTAGCAAGAATAGTATTGATGAGACATGGAATGGACAGGCTCTGGAGGCCAAACAAGGGTAAGTGACGTACACAGGTAATGTGTAAATTTAGTCCTGGTAAGGTTTATGGTTCATTAATGTCATTAATATAAAATAATTTTCAGAAACTTTAACCCTGATACAAAAAGATCAAAAAATAATCATGAATCCTGTATAATTTGCTTTCTAAACAGAAAAATACATATCTGTAGGCATAACTTGTTCTGCTTTTGTAGGGAATAACATATCTTTCCTAGAACTCACATGCTCAGTCATCGAAGCATTAAGACATACATAGGAAACTGAAGCAGCAGATATTTTGGATAATGTATATGTGGGAAAGGGTGTGGGAGGAGAAATGAGAATTCATCCTGGAAGTACAGAGTGCATGCAGAGTGCTGGGTATGCTACTACCATGTGGCTGACAAAAGCGTGCTATTATAATGCAAGTTTTATGTCTGTTTTTAAGTACTGAGTCTGCAAGACCTTTGTTGCCGTGCTATAGTTTCCTGTACCCCTGTGCATCTTGTTGACAAGCTCCCTCTCCCCGTTGCCTTAAGAAGCCATCTCAAATCTTTCTCCATGGCAAATGGCCTTAATGCCAGGATGATGCATGGACGCTCATACTCCCTCACATCCAGCAACATCAATAAAAGGAACAGCTTAAAGAAAGCTAAAATTTTCCGTCCACCGCAGAGCCCACCAAAAAACTGCACAAGAAACAGCTGTAAAATTTCTTAAGCTCTCTGTGGGAAAAGGAACCTGGATGGAATCCCCTCATGTGAAGCGTTGAACACAAGGACTCCTTGTTTAATGGTTGAGCACACTCTATGTACGTGTCATAGTACATAGACAAAAATAAGAAAAATGAGTCTTATTTTAGAGCTTGCTCACTACAGTAACGCTGCTTTGGAATGAATGACATGTTCAGTGCAACTGAAAGGATGTGACATTTTGCTGTTGGATTTTCATACTGCATTTTAGTTTCTGATGTGCGTGATGCCATTATTTTTACTAGTAGATGTGTTTTCACATAGGGGATAATTATCAGTATATTCAGTTCTTAATTCCACGAAATCTGGAAAGTGACTTACTGTGTAATTGTATAAAATCCTGTCTTTTTGCAAACTATTGAGAAATAGAAAAACGAGTCATCAGTTTGCATATTCAGGCAGAGGTTTTTAAATGCAATGTATTGTATACATTCTTAAATTCTACAAATAGCGTGACAAATTCTAGTAATACTGCAATTGTGCACCTGGATTTTTTGTAAAGCTTCCTTGATAACTTTGAAGCACTAACTTAACTAAAAATGTATATATAATTATTATGCACATACACAACAAGGTTTTGTCCCATTAGTGTATGTAATAGACTTGATAAAGTTTTTGGTATGTTATTTAATACTTTGGGGAATTAATTTGTGGTTTAAATACTTATTTTTCTGGAAAAAAAAAAAAAAAAGATTACATTTTATACCACTCTACAAGAAAGTTCTAGGAGGAAAATGCCAAAGACACTGTGGTGAAAGGAACATGACTTGAAGAGCTTCTTTATAAGGAAAGAATGCTATTTAAAGAATAAATAAATGTTTCTGGAAAAGAAATCCTCTTATGCTTTCTTTAACTGGGGACGGTTGTCTGTATCTTCCTTTCAAAGAATTTGAAGAACATCATACCTGAACTAGACACCAGGAATTTGAAGTCCTCTTAAAAGTATCATGTAATGCTTTTGATACATCTGTCTTCAGTATTGTCGACTGAAATATGGAAGAACAATACACATCAAGCCTTCCATTTGTGAAGGAATTGTGTGACTTCTCCTTTGAGGTCATGGTGTAGCTTCATGCCAGTTTCTTCTAGGTGTCTTCACTGTTGTGGGATACCATCAAGTTACATATCTATAGTATTCCTTCTGGATCAGCATAGATGTCCACAGCCTCTGTAAGCGAGTAGGGAAAATTCAGGCCAGTAAAATGCCAAAGTTATGCCAGGACCTGGACCAGTCAATGCATCGCTACTTAAAGAAAAGTGCGATCAAGAACAAGTCTTCTCATAGTTAAAGACTAAATGGCAAAACAAAGTGCGGTGGAAGGAATTCCCATCGGATCGCTCCCACGGTGAGGAGCAGGCTCCGCCTGCTGGTCTGCCTGTGCTGAGGGAGCTGCAGGGAAACGCTGTGGTGCCAGGATGCAGCTGTTAGACTGTAGAAATTGCATCGCCACAGCTTAAGAAAATGTACGTAGCAGCCTGCAGCTACAGGAGGTTAAACCTGAATCAGAGGCACATCCGTACTTTGGGAGCAGTCTGGTTATGTTTGACTAGCGGCTGCGTGCAGGATGAAGAGCTCTCTTCCATGCACACTGCGATAGTGTTTTAAGTTTCTTCTGAATTATAACCTTATATAAATATATATAAATTTATGTATAAATATAAACCTGAAGATTGGCCTCTTCAATCACCAGGTCATTAGTTTGTTTCCTTTCTGTATGTGATATGCAGTAAGAATGCCTAGCTGGAGAGAGCATTAATATGGATGTGTGTGTCCTCAAGGTCAGATTCCCTACTCCTCCTGCCAGCCAGTGTAAAGACAAGGTAAGAAGGAGAGGCTAGAGCAGCATTCCTCCCTTCCAGTAATGCCGGCAGCAATCCCCCAGGGAGTAAGTAAAGCCTGAGCCTGTAGTTAGAAAGAGGAAGATTTTTAAAAAACAAAGAAGGGCTTGTTATTTCATATATCAAGTCTCTTGGCTGCTGAGGAAACAATCTTGTAAAGATGCAATGTGATTATTTTTTATGTATATATATATGAGTGCAGAAAGAATAATGTACCAACTGATCACTGCCGATAGCTCCAGGACTGTAATGAGCCATTGTAAACTGAAAAGCTGTAGAAATTTCCAAACAGAAGTCTGCACTAGAGAAGAGTAGGTTACAAATCTGAAATCCAGCGTCAAAACCATTGACATGGAAGGCACAGAGCAAGCACAAAAAAGGAAGTGAATGCATGTGAAGGATATGGAATAGCTGGCATTTGTGTGAGCACACGCAAAGTGTGAGCTTTTAGCTAATCATAGAGCCCTGCAATGGTTCAGGTTGGAAGCAGCAGGCCATCGGCTCCATCAGCTTGCTTAAAGTGAATTCACTGTTGAATTCAGCCAGGCTGCTGGCGGCCTTGGGTCTTGAAAACTTCCACATTTTCAAGGGTTTGGGGTTTTTTTAGGTGGTGGCGGTGTTTGGATATTAGTTTTTTGGGCCTTTTTTTTTTGTCAAAATGGGGGATCCCCTATTTTAGCATATTCTAACTGTGTTTCTTCTGTTCTTACTAGTTTGATACTCAGTATGCCCTTGGTGTGAGAGCTTTCTATTAAATGGCCCTATTAAACAGCAGCCCTGTTCTTGCCTCGGAGAAGCCCGGGGTGCTCCCGCTGCCATGGCCCTGTGAGGTGGGG